GGAACAGGCAGCGAGGCCGGGGTGTGAGGCAGCCTGTGCTCGGCCTGTGGTTCGGCTGCATGGAAAGGCACCCCTTGCCTTAGCACACCCCAAAGCCACGCGTGCTTTCTGCCCCTCATCCAGCCTCAGTGCAGTGAACAGAGGCACCAACACGGGTTTTCAATCTGATGGGGTCTCTTTAGCGCACGGCTGTTGCTCGTATCATCATTATTTTCGTTCCCACATGTACAGCTTTTTTTTGAACCAACAGTCCTGGCATCTGTGCCTGGTGGGTAAAAACTGTGGTTGAAAGTCAAGACAGGTAATGACTGAGTAACTGTAACAAGATCGTTTTCTAAAGCCATGTGTACAATGTAGCTGATCCTCGACTGTTTTAATCACTCATCTTTCCTGCCTGCAACAGAAATACCAAAATATATTGATCCAACAGCAATTTGTTTGCTTTAAAGAGCAAATTTCAAATAAATGTTTGAATACATTACGCACGGGATTGTTTTACGGACATAATTTTCTCCTGACTTCACCTCTAAGTGACTTTTGAAAAGTTGCTTTGCCTCTTATCTTGGTTTTCTGTGTCTGTTGGACACAACAGTGAAACCAGAACTGAGCCCAGACCTAGGAGAGCCCCAGACTGCAGTTTCTAGGCACACCATGAATCATGATCCATCTCATTTTTCACAGCTCAATGACAAACGTGCACAACTTTGCCATGTAGCTAACTTACACCATGGCTTTGTGGATGTTATTGATCATCTCGAGTAACTGCGACGAAACAGTTACTACGGCCTGGTCAGATCTTTGTCTTAGTTGAACTTCTAGGCAACAACGGAAATCAGATTTCAAACTCCTGCCACGTTTTGCACCTGGGGAATCGGCGATCTCATCTTCTGTTGAGGATTTGCCTGGGCAGGAAGCCATCTAATTACAGCCTCTCTTTAAACCCCAGCACCTTCTGGTTTGGTTTGAAATCACTCATACGTACTTCTGAAGACAGGCAGAAATTGTAAGACTTGTGATGCTCCCCTGTTTGCACTGTGATAGCACCACACCAAGAGCAGTGCACCAGATAGTACAGACACAATAAAAAGTCCATCCCTCATCAGCTTACCAAAAAAAAACCCAAAATACACTTAGAATCACTTCAGAATTAATGTTCTCCATTTATTGATCATCTAGTTTCAATAAGCATTTCCAAGGCATTGCAGCAGGAAAGAATTTTAGCATGACAGGTGAACAGCCCTTCTGATTTTTACAGAGTTCTCTGATGCATAAGGGGAAACGTGGAAAAATATAAAAAAGGAATGAGGATGGCCACACTACTTTGATATTTATTAAAATTCTAAGCTGTTCTTTGCCTCTTCCCCCAGTGATGCGGTGTTATCGGGAAAGCAGGCCACCATGTGTTGGGAAAAAAAATAAATACAAAAACTTGGCCACAATTAGAAGCCTCCAGAGAACTAGAAAAAGTGTAATTAATCATCCAATACACTGACAACCTACATAAACCAAACGAGATAAAAGATCTTGGTACAAATGAAACTGGGTAAGATTATCAGTTTATTGATTGTTGAACTAGTACTGTGTGTATTTACTGCATCTCTTCAGCAGTGTTCCTATGCTGAGGCTAAGCAGAAATTTCTGGTCGTATCTGTAACCCTCATAGCCAGATCCCTTTCACTTGTGGGGCAAGAACAAACAAAAAGCCAACTGTGATGGCAGAAAAGTGAAATAGGCCATTTCTGTGCCCGCCAAACGCTTTCTGCAACCTGGACATCTGGCACCAGACCTTTAGCTGCCTCTTTTATTAAGTCACCGGGCATTAGCCACACCTGCAGCTTGTACCTCTTAACAGTATCTCACAGTAACACTCCTTCCTTTGGAGTATCTCAGGCACGTGGAATCACAAACCATCCAAATAAGCTAAACAGGAGGGAGTTTATATTCAAATAATGTACAAAGAGGGGAACCAACACTGCTGTGGAATTAACAGTATGGCCATACTACTGATGCAAGACTAACGTTTCCAGGCCTACCTCTTAAAGAACAAACAAGCAGTTCTTCTGGAGAACAAATCAGAAAACTAAAGCTTTAAACTATTTTGTGAAGTTTACAGATGAGTCAGTTGTGAACTGTGTGTGTTACTTCGGAAGACAAAACAGAGAACACTGCTGAACTTGCTGAAAGCAGCAGCTATCACTTATCTTGAGTTGCTGCCAGCTCTTTATACACACTGTGGAAAGGGAAAAGGAAGGGCAGCCCATGGGGGAAGAAGTCCACTGCTAAGTTTAAGAAGAGCAGCTTCTTCCCAGTGTTTTGTTTATGGAAAGAATAAAGAAACTGAGATTGTGCAGTCCCAATTCTTAGATAAGGGAAGAAGGAGAGCCAGCTGGTGGCCAGGAAACCTCCTCTGAAGCAATTTTAGACAAGCACTCAAAGGGGAACTAAAATCAGCTATTGTGTCTGGGCACTAAGAGCTCTGAAGTACTGTGCACATCTGCCTGCATACATCAGCAGGCTATCCAATTAAAAGCAAACTTAACTAATGATTTCTCAAAGTAATTAATTCCCAAATATGTAAATGTGGACATTAAACACATCTATGTTTATTTAAAACACCTGTAGGAAGAAGCAATCCCTTTACTTGTAAGTCACCTTACATTTACTAAATGGCTTTTTGTCCCATATGGCTGAATGGCCACTAATAACTGTCACCTTCTTCCACCCCAGCCACCCCTCAAGAAACCTGTCATATAACCTTTTTAGTGCCTGCAACCCAAAATCACGCGCAGGCAGCTGGCAATTGAGTACTGAAGGCTTCTTACAAGATGACACTAACACCAGAACTCTCAATTTATTAGTGGGTTACTCTGTGCTGTTAAAAACCTGTGGTAAACCTGTGACAGAGCAGAGAACAGTCAAGTAGTTGCAAGTTCCTTTATAAAGTTTCTTTGGTAGAAAGGTATTTCAGGTAGGTTTGGAAAAATTCTTGTTACCAGATACTCTGAGATTAGTATTTGCTCACTGGAGGGCCAAAGATGGTTACAATAGGAAGAAAAGTGTGCATTTTGTTTGCTTTTTAATTATTTCAAGATTAAATACAATATATCAAATGCAACAAATGTTTGCTGATGTTATGTTGTTCATGTTCCATTAAGTTGTGCTCCAGCTGCAGTTCCCCTTCCTATTTAGATACTCAAGACAGCCAGTTTGACACATTATTATTGGAAAAAATTATATTTTGGAAGAACTCACTACAGAAGGTGACAGAATTCCAAAAAATCAAATTACATGAAAATATACATCGCAATTTTCTTTGTACATTAGGTGAGGAAAACTCTGAAGTAGAAGGCAAAGAATATGGAGGGCCACAGAAGAAGGAAAAGGAGGGAAACTATTCTTGATACCAAACCCAGAAGTTAGTCATTTGAAAGCCTACAAATGTGCATGCTTGAATTCAACCTTGAGAAAAAACAAGCCTCCCCCACACACACCCCACCCCACAAACAGGCAATCAAAAAGGAGAGAAAAAAAAAAAAATCACCCATAAAAAGCAGCTCATTCCTATCTTGGACTAACTTAGTCAACTGAACTTCCAAACGAAAGCACTCAAGTCCCTTGGAAGTTAAAAATCCAGCAGGCTGCTTGAGGGTGCTCCATGGCCAGTTTTATTGCTATACCCAATTCAAGAAGTATGTGCAATTGGGTTTAAAAAAGGAGAAGGGAAGAAGAAAAAAAAAACTGAACAAAAAATGCACCTTTGAGACTACAAAGGTCATCATAAAAGACAACAATTAATTCATAGGAAATCCTTTCAGGGTATAATTAGGAAAATTTTAAGTTCTGATGGGGGAAATAAAAGGGAGCACATTTCCAAAAACGAGATACTAAAATTTAATAAGCAAGAGATTTTAATTAAGCCTCAGTGGGTCAAAGGAAAATTGAAGTGGAGAAAAAAAAAAAAAAAAACAAAACAACTTTATCCTAATTGGTTTTAGTTTGACATGCTTCACAAGTTGTTTTTGTTGTTTTTTTTAAAACCGATAGGAAACAATGAATAGGGAGAGAAAAAACCTGCTAAAATCTTTAGAATTTATATGATTCTATTCCTAACTACAGACAGCATTATTTGGTACAATGTGTATTTGTGGATGTACATGAACAGTATATATATTATCCGGATCATGTTGTGCTATGTACACATCTTTACAATTCTTCCTGAAGGTTAAAGCAGTTCATTAGATTTCAAAATGTGTAATCATCTTGTGTTGGCACTTGTTAGGCTCTTGTCAGCATTGATAACTGGCATGTTTTATTGCAGCCCAGTTCCAGCCAGTGTTTGCCAACTTGTAACAACAGAAGTCCAGCAATAGGTGGGTAGAGTGCAGGAAAAAAAACAGTGCCATGTTTCTCAATTGAAGACCTAAAAAGAAATCAAGAGTTATTAAAATAAAACCCCTTGTCATCCTCAATTATTTTAAAGATGTTAAATAGTGTTTCAAGCTCAAGGAAGATAATAATTACTTGTTCAAGAACTTTACATACCTCTAAACAGACAATGCATAAATCCAAAGTCATCACCTGAGAAAGACTTGAGTTAGTTCAGCACGCGGTATGTCCACACTCAACTATCAGACTTTCAGGCTCCTGTTACTCATGTTGCTTGTCAAGCGCACGGTGTGTAAATGTTTGATTATTCACACATAGGACTAAACACTTGTAGATTTACCACTGAAACTTCTGTGCATCACTTACTGTGAATGATGGATGCTGCTTCAACACCAAAGTGCAGTTACAGAATGGCACAGCAGTGCTTCATTAAATAACACCACAGCTACCAAGTCAGGCCGTGTTTGTTGGAAAACAACTATATGGCTCCTTCTCATCCAACTCATTGCCCATCACTTACTTAAGAGGGGTCACCAGGAATTAGAAAAAGCTTTCGCCTTCCAAAAATCCACACAGCCAATTACTGAAGTATTTGTCATAAGCATTGTTTCACTATGGCCAAGTTTAACATGGCAACAGAGCTGAGGTTAGTTAAGGATACTCTGGAACGTTACTCACTGTTGCTCCTTTCTCCAAGACAGGAAAAAACTGCCAGCCGCATTAACAATTCTTACACTCTAGTTCTAGGCAGTTGTACAAGACATTCAGTTTCTTTGCTTCATCTTTTGATCAATATTAAGCATTTTCATGCTTTCTCTATACTGGAAAAAGGTCTGTTTAATCAAAGCATTTCTGCAGAGAAGAGAGACTGCACTACTAGTTTGTCACAGATGGAGCCTTCCCCCACCCCCAACCTTCTTACAGAAGTGTAAGGAAGGAAGTACCTCCTGTAAAACCTTGGTGAAGAAAAGTTAACTAGCAGGAGCATTTAGTAAGCTGTTCTAGTTGTTCACTCAGTACAACACCTTTAAGCTACACACAGCACTGTATTTTTACCCCCTCAGGTTTTGTACATTGAAGCTAACTAGTACACACAGTTTTGGGCATCTCCAGCCAAACGGGTCAGAGTAGTTTATTTGCCAAACCAACCATTAAGAAAGGGCAGCTTTGACATGAATCTCTGTTTTGCTTTGAAAAGCAAGAGTGGGAAATTATTAGCTAGCTGAGGAAGTTTTTCCTTGATGTACCAAGATTAAAGTGACCAAAGGCCAGTCATTTAAGGGCCACATTTTAATACAGAGCTTTCTACAAGAGCTTATAGTGTTTAAAAAAATAAAAAGAGTCCCATTAAAACTAGAAAGGGATTGTTCAAATGAAGAGTAAGTATCTTGAGTCAGAAGCTCATTCTCACCAGGGTGGCATAAAGTATAAATATCACGTCAGCTACTCTCAGGTCAAAACTTGCCCAGGCTCTCAGATATGCTACAGTTCAGTTTCCAAGCAGAATACAGCTCTTTTTCTGAAGTTATTTCTAAGCCTTCCCCTGTAAAAAAAAAGGGTTTTGAGCTGTTGAACACCACCTTTCTTTATATTATCAATGGGCAATACCTCAGTTTGATCCTTTCTGATATGCTAGTAGACTTTCTATTAAAAATTCTCAAGAGATACCTGAAGCAATCCTTTCCAAATGCTTCCTAATAACTTCACTGAAGTCTTACTTAAAACCTACATGCAACATGCCACCAACATCTGCAAGGTAGACTCCATATATAATATAGTCTTGAGATAGCAAGACAGGATGCTTTTAAGATTCAAACAAGTGTTCTTCACAATAATGAACATGAAAGTGATTATTCTTTTAGAGCTCTAGTAACCCCTAAGCACTATTAATAAAGCAGGATGAATACTGATAACAAGAATTTCAACTTCTGAACAGCATAAATGCAAGAGTACTAGAGAAGTTCCCCCATCTTGGCAGAAGGGGCTACTACTGCACTTGAAAATTCTTTTAGTCTTTAGTATCACATACAGCCAAAGAACTCCACTGAGGCTGAGACCACGCAGCTGAGCAGAAAGGTTGGTTGGTTGGGTTTTTTTCTTTCTTTTCTTTTGAGAAAAAAAAAAAAAAAAAGGTTCAGCAACACTTAGGCAGGAAATCCTCATCTCAGGTAACTGACTTGTCTTTAGAAGGGTACTTACCCTGAAAAAAGTGAAGCTACTAGCTGCTGAATAAGTGTCACTCAAAAGCAGTTTCTTGGCTTTTTCTTACACAGCGGGCAACTTTTCTTTTAAATTCTCCATTTCTGTCTTCTCTCCATTCTTTCTGTAATTGAATAGACAGCTTTCAGATGTCAGTCCTATAACAATGTACAAGTTCTAGGAAGACTCTTGGTGTTTTTAGACATTAGCCATCTATTCAACACCTAAATTTGCTTACAGTCATTGAGCTAGTCACTGAAAACCTGTGACACTCAGGACTTTTGAAAGCTTGCCCTGGGTTTCTACACAAGCTGCTCACAAGACAGTGAGGATGCAGCCTTTCCATCTTGGATTTTAGGCACTGTCCAAGACTAACCTGGTGGCTACCAATATTTCCCAATGTCAAGGCTGAAATCTATTTACTTCAGCCTGCAAAGCAGGAGCAAATTCAAACTGTAGACCACAAGCTACTGTTACAGGTTAGAGAAAATGTCTTTAACTGCAGTGATGAAAAAAGGTACACAGCTACTGTGGAGCCTGTAGTGATTCTGGGATTTTTAGAACAGTTCCAATTCTCTCTCAATCTAGCCAGGACACTCCAGAATAGATATAGAGAAGTCAGAGTATTCAGAAGAGGCATAGTGGTGTCCTTAGAAAGGAAACACCTCTTAGATACAGCTGTGAGATATTGGCTCCATGAGGAAGACCTTAACAGAATATTCAGCACACCTATGGGGATGGTCTCTGTGACAGGTATCTACTTTCAGAACCTCATAGATGAAGAACAAAGATAGGAAGAAGTTAAGTCTGAACCCAGAGATGTGCACACCATGGTATCACCAAAACCCACAGGACAAAGTACAGCCAGTTTTAAGCGTTCATGACAAGCTCAGATGAAAGTACAGGAGCATCATACACTCAGGCTAAAGTTGACATGTTGGGACCTGGCAAGGAAGTGGTGGGAAAATATTAAGAAGCCCTTATTTAATGAAATAAGTTCTACAGTTCTTAGTTTTTTGAGACAAGCAATATATTCTTACTGCAGGGGTGGGGGAAGGCATTAAAAAAATAAATTACACCACACTGTTGTACCTGAAGCAGTCTAGCACCCAACACCTTTTCACCCCTGACTTGGAGTGAAGGTTGGAGCACATCTGAGAGAAAATTAGGGTAACTGATACATCCTAACATTCACCACCTCCAAGCTCATCCAGCCAGTCAGCATGTTGGAAAGCCTAGCATGTCTTATCTTTCCACTGAAAGCACAAATAAGGCTACTAATTAATTTGTTCTTTTTAAGCAATTAATACAGCAAACATTTGGTTTCTTGGATTGGGACATAGGACAGCTTACATAAGATGGCTTAAGGCCAAGAAAAGCATTGAATTTGTGCCCTCCTAGCTTCAAATGCTTAGGTTTTTTTCCAAATTCTTAGTTTTTGTTTCTACCTTTTATATTTGTAGTTCTATGAAGCAAGTGTTCAGAATTGAATAGCAAGCAAAGTTTCCAATTTGACAGCAATCTCTCCAAAACTCTTACTTTAAGTCATGAACTGTTCTATTTGCTTCTCACCATATCTATTCAGGCTCCTGTCCCTCATTTTTCTCCCACTCCAAGAAACAGTACTCCAACATGCACAGTTCTTTTTTCCAGGAAGCAGTATATTTTCTGGTCCTATAATATTGTGTGACCTGCCTCTAACATCTTATTCTCTAGATTCATTTAAACTAGGAATTAACAAAAGCACACAAAGTATTTTTTAGTAACTGCCAAATACTGTTGCTGTAGTAAACTTGTACTTCATAAACCAAGTAGAAGATGTCTTGATAGCAGCTCAAAATAAAGCACATGAGCTGCTGATTCTTCATTACCTTAATGAGTATGGTCTGGTTAATATGAAGAGGATGCAATCTACAATCCAGCAGGAGATTCTAAGCTGCTCAAGCAGCACATTAAGTTTAAAAGTTCCTTTGAACATCTAATGCCACAGTCAGAAGAATCATTACTAGCATCCAAAGGTTACATCAGTGATGCCTCAGTACTGTCTTCATAGTTGGATTTGGATTTAAGTTCTTGTTCTTTCAAGCTGAGCTAGAAAATACTGTGTTTCCTTAAGATATTTTCAACCTTTATCCCAAGGTTTAGGTAAAAAAATTCATAGTTCTCTAATACCTTTCTGAGAAAAAAAAAAATGCTCCTGAAGTGGCTGGCAGAGAGTGGGGCACACTCCAGAAAGATTAATAAGCTTGTGAGATACTAGGAAGGTGACAAGCATAGCTAAAAGTATAAGCTTTCTCCAGCGTTACGTCAACTACATTCAACATACATGAGTCTGTAAACTGAGGAATTCTAATTGTGCTTTAACATTTCATTAATAACTTGCTCCTTCCAGTGCTCTCAGGTTTGCCAGCATAAAAAGTCTGTGTGTCCTGGGTATGTGTTTCCACCAGTAACGTGACACAAGAAGGGGGTCTGACACTCAAAAGAATGTTAAATGAGGGAAATCTTCACTGCAGCTTTTTCTGGTTTTGGTTTTCTTCCCATTAAGTTTGTTCCACATGAGACTATTCCTATGATGATTTTTCAGCAGAGCTCAACTACCTTTGGTAATACTAACAGCATAATAGATCAAGGGCTTCAGGAAACTAAACTCCCACTGACTTTAGGAAGGTATAACTAGCTTTACAGAGCCAGTTAACATGTTTCTAGAAAACTTTGCATCTTCTGATTACCATCTCCCTTTTCCTCACTACCTCAGTTAAAAGACCTAGAACTTCTCTTTTGTGAGAGCATCATTTATTAGTCACGGCTGAACTGCATTTCTAGAGTAATTCAAAGGAAAGTATACTGGCATATCTCAGATGAATGGGACCTGAAGTCTGTTCCCCTACTCCCCTCAGAACTGAGAACTTTTTCCCTCCCCACCACAAATAGTTATTAGTCTAATTGCTATTCTGCTATAAACGCAGGCCTTCGAGAAAGGCAATAGCTGTGTTTATACACCCACACAGAACAGACCACGCTCCAGAAACTCTATGCTGCATGAAACATTTGCATCTCTCTTGTGACAGAATCCCTACTGCAGATTCACCCTGGCTTTCAACTATAAACCACAAGGTCACTCTTCCTCACTCCTTAGCCAGTCCTTCTAGTCTGGGACAACACTTCCTCCAGAGTTGAAGGCCAGATGCCCAGCAATGCTTTCAAGTACTTCCTCAAAGCACAGACCTACAGTCAAACCTACTGCTTTAATCCATGACCAGGGAAGACTGCCATAGAGAGGTGACTGCAAAAAGCCACAGTGTAGTTATACTGAGGGGCTCCACCACATTTTCTCCTTCCATCCAAATCAATAAATCTGTTAACAGCTTACACAATTTCTAAGACAAAATTTTTTCTGCATTATACTAACAACATACTAGATCTAAAAAAGGTTCTAGACTATGTTAACTTCTGCAGCTAAACTTAATGGCAGTTGTAATTGCTATGCGTATATAGCCACACAGGATTTTACAGCCAGTTTCCTTGAATTTTTTAAGACTAAAGGAGCTGAAGTTTATCCATTAGGTACCTCTGCACACAAGTTATTTACTATAAATAAATACATTCTTGCAAAGGAGAAATTAAACAACTGCCTATGAAACTTGACAGCATCTTTCCCTTGCAATCTGTAAGAAATTTCCCAGGGTTAGCTAGTAATTAAATCTGTTTCACAACATGACTGCTTTTCCCAACAAAAAGGTAGCTTTAACCTTTGAAATAAAAGATTCTTCCTAAAGTTATTATACTGAAGTAAAACTCCATTGCAAGTTTAGGTTTCTACACTGAAGACAATTGGCAGACCAAGAAAAAAAAAAAAAAAAATCTTACCGCTGCATCAACATTAGCAGGAGAATCACCATTGGGATCTGCCAGCATAGAAATAACACTAATCATTATAGTTTCCACTGTGTGAATGGGAAGCCAGCGTTCCTCAGGTTTTTCATAGCCATATTTGTCTTCTCCAGGCTCATGAAGAATTGAAATGCAGACATCACCATTCTTGTCAACTACAAAATAGAACAAGGCATATTTCAGTAATGAACAACACGCTGGCATTTCTTCAGGATAGTTACAGATCTGTTAATCTTCACTCCAGCCAGTCTGAAAACACGTTGGTGAAGACACTTTACGAAAAAGGAAAGTAATTAACTATTACAGAACTCCATCTGTAATAACTAGGGTTGGGTGGAAGTCTGTTATTATGCCTGGACCTCCAGCAGAGAAGGCACATGAGGAGGATGAACTTAACTCTAACATCATGTTGCAACTTTCAAGACTATTTAGACAGGCTTCCACTAAAGCTTTTTCTGTAAAGTTCAGCATACTAGATTTTTTTTTTTTTCCTCACAGCATCAGCTAGATATTACTGCAATATATTGGAATATGATTTAAGCTGCTGGAATTAGAAACTGCCTGACAAGTACTTTGATATCTCCAGAGCCAAAACTGACACAGCATCAAAATAGTCTGTCCCTTATGATGGGAGCACTGTGCTGGTCTCCTCCCAGCTTTCAACATCTACAGCTTCAGTAATGACTTATGAAAATGAAGAACATTCCTCCTTCCCAGTAAAACACTTCCATTTTATTTTACCTTCTCATCTATGTTCAGCAGTCCAAAAGTAAATGAAACATTAGGAGGAGTCTTCTTTGGAGGTATTAAAAGATGCTTTTATTTCCTTTCATGCTTCACTGGAACAGGACAACCTTGGGCCTTCTATATTAAACTGCTAAGTCAGTAATACTCAGATGAAACATTTGAAGGTATAACAAAAAGCAGTTATAAGTCCAGTTTTTCCTCAAACCAGAATTTCCTACTTAGGATTAAAAAAAAAAACAAAACCCTCAACAGTTGCCAAGAATTCGAGAAGCTACTTTCAGTAGCTTCCTAAAATACTTTAGGAGCAGTCTCTCAGAGCAACACTATTAAAAACTCTGCCATGGTTATTATTTCTTTATGAAGTGAAGGTGGCAAAGTAAACACAGTGTTTCATATTTCTAACATGAACAGAAATGAGTCCATTTGTATTCACTGCATTTTAGTTCTTAATTGCAAAAAGAAATTGAAACTTTGACATTTCTTACCATTCGGATGCCAGATTTCTGTGATGAATTTCATTTTTGGCGGCCTCAGTGGATAGTCTTTTGGAAAAGTAAGATGAGCCTTGAAAACACCACCTTCACTGGGGAATCAAAAATATCTCAGTAGAGTTTCTTGTAAGCTTCAGTTGAAGACTGGAACTTACTGATTTATCAAAAGCTCTACGTTTACCACTAACGCAGCTTAACATCATGTTGGTAATTAACAGAACCATCACTTCCATGTGCAATGCAAAGAGTTTCTAGATTGAGAAGAAGATACTGCCAGTTCCCTAACACCATATCTTTTTTAGAATTAGGATCATGTTCCAGAGGGGAAAAACCACACACACACACACACACACACAAATATCAAGAAACTGCCAAGGAATTTACCATCTGGAATTACAACTTACATTTTTTCCTCACAGTACATTTATTAACAGCAAAAAACGATACTGCCAATAACTCCTCAAGTACAGCCCAGCAGAAACCTGTTTATTTTCCTCCTTTAGGCACCTCAGCCCTGATTTCTTGCTATCAGTCTGCAGCAGTGAGCCTCAGTGAAAAGTTACTGGAAGTATTATAGTTGTGTTTATAGCATTACTTTGTAAAAAAATACTTCCAATACTACCTTTTTCTACATTAAGCTAAAGGGACCCAGACATGACAGCAAGGTGTGTTCTGCATTACAGTTACCCAACTAAACTAGAAAACAATAATAAGAGATATCCAGTTTTAATGTGGAGTTACAGCCTCATATTCAGCTAAGGTAACAGTTGGGGGGGGCAGTGTTTATTTTTTCTTCTTTTAAATAACTAGGTTTCAATAGCCCAGAATAGATCCTTTTGAAAAATGGGAAGGTCTATATTATACAGATGGAATGCTTCACTAATGTCAGTATTGTAACATTTGTCCTGTTACTGTCATTTCTTGTAATTGAAGTTTGTAATAAAATTTGAAATTGCAAAGGCAGAGATTACAAAAACTGGAACACAACCTCCAAAGAATCATAGAATGGTTTGGATTGGAA